CAAGGTGAGGGGAGCTCTGGAAAAACCAGGGAGCAACCTCCAGGCTCCCACAGCAGAGCTCTGGGGAGCCAGCGGGCATCATCCCTCTCAGTCCAACCCGCAGGAGGCCAAGGGCCGGGCAGGGGTTACAGCCAAACAGACAGGTAAGAAAATACTTCTGGTATTTCTCAGAAACAGCATTTAGAAACCACAGTTTTTTTACAGCTCCCCATAAAAAAAGATGGGTTTGGGCACAGGTGCTCCACTAGTAGAAACGCTTGTTCCGCTCCTGGCGTTTCTGGAAGACCACAGCTCCCACCACGGCGCAGACAATGATGCCCAGCAGGGCACAGAGCAGGAGCAGGAACACCTTCCAGCCCGTCAGCGGCCCGCTCCGGAAATTCCCCGTCGGGTCATCCACGTTGTCTGCAAGGGAAAGAACAGCTACAGACACCAAGAGAACCTCGGCTCCTGGGGAGCTCTGCCAGGTGTCACACCTCCAATGCCTCCCAGACCTCCCAATCCCCCACGGAAGGTGTCCAAAGCCCACAGGCTCACCTTTGGGGGATTTAAGGAGGCTGACCCTCGGCTCGATCTTGGTCCAGTCAACAGTCTCATCTTCTACAGGGTGCTCCACCATGAGCTGGAACAGCTTCATTGAGATGATGTCATGATTGTCTGGGGAACAACCGCGAGCAGCAAACACCATGAGAAGCTCTGAGATGTCCACATACTCAAAGCACCCCTCAGACCGTCCTCTGCCAGGTCCAGTCTCCTTCCCTCTCAAGCCACCCTCATCCCCAGGTATCAAACTGCAATCCAAAGAGGTTCCTTAGCTCTCAGGTGCCTCCTTTCCCCAGCCATGGGTCCCAAAAGGGTTTCAAGGGCCCAGTAAACAATCCAGAGAAAGGAAGCAATGGAAACTATCCAGTGCATCCAGTGTTACAATCACAGAGTTTTTAGGGTTGAGATCCAACTCCCCTGCCAAGACAGGGTCACCTAATCCAGGCTCCAACCACCACGTGTTCCCCTGAGCAAAGCCCCTCTCACCAGAGAGATCTCCAGTGCCAGCAGAAGCACCAAAGAAGTACCCAGTTGGCAGCTGCACCCCTGCGATGTCGATGCAGTTCTTCCATTCATTCTTGTCTTCCACGTCAGTCATCACCTGCAAAACCAGAAGAGGGTCACACCAGGAATGTTCAGAACCATGGGACAGGCTCCAACCTCCCTGCTCAAGCAGGGCCATCCCAAATCACAGAGACTGTGTCCAGATGATTCATCAACATCTCCAGCGAGGGACACTCCACACCCTCTCCAGGCAACCACTTCTGGCTCGCCACTCTCCTGCCTGGCTGCACCTCTCTGGAGCTGGAGGTGGCTGAGCCTGGAACAGCACCTCCAGCCCCTGGGGGAGCCAGCCCTGCCCCTGAGCAGCAGCCGCCCGTGGTCTCACCGTGAGGCGGCCGCGGGAGTAGCGCACGGCCAGGAAGGTGTCGTGGTTCTGGTTGCGCAGGTCGGCCGAGCAGCCGGCCAGCTCCGTCCAGCGCCCGTCCTTGCTGTGGTCGTAGCTCAGGGAGCCGTTGTTGACCATGGCTGAGATGTAGGGGAACACACGCTGTGGGGACAGACAGGGGACACGCTGAGGGAGCTCTGGGGCACAGCCAGAGCCCACAGGGTGGGAGCATGGCCCTGGTCAGGCACGGGATGTGCACGGCTGCTGCTCCACCTAAAGCTGCTTCTGAACCAAGCTTGAGCTGCCTAAAGCAGAGCCTCCCTTCCTGAGCTTCCATTTCAAGACCCCCATCCTGTGATTGTGTGAATGAACCCACCCTGCACTCCGTGGCCAGGGCAACCAGAGTGTCCCACACTTGCAGAGTGGCTGGGTAAAAATCCCAGAATCATTTAGGTTGGAAAAGACCTCTGAGAGCATTCAGTCCAATCCCCACCTTGTCAGCTAGCCCTGAGTGCCACACCCAGTCATTCCTTTAACACAAAAAGCATAAGAACAGAGTACAAGACCCAGAATGGACAGAAATCTACAGAAGCAGCAAAACCACACACAAGGCTTTGTGATCAGTGGATTATCTACACCAGGAGAGGACAACTGGAGGCAGGAATTCAGCTCCCATGAGCATCAAGACAACAGGGAGATGGGTCATTTCCAGGTGCTTTTTGAAGTATCATGGTTTTGATGGTACAGACCCCAAAGCACAGTTTTGTTTTCTGACTGTGCCATAATGACATCCACACACACAGAGCAGGACACAAGAAAAGGATCCCCAGCCCTCACAGGACTGATCTGTCCCATGGCCATGGGGAATTCTGGAATAAAAAGGCAGCCCAGGAGTTTCTTTCAGATACAGAGAGGTTGCAAAGAGAAAATAAGGGAAGAAACATCATGGGATGAGTATCCAAAGCACAGAGGTCAGGGAATAATACTCAGGATGAATATTGGCAGGTGGTGCTGGGTTTACACCAGCTCTGTGCCTGCTCTCCTGTGCAGAGAAGATGCCTTGGAAACATCTGTGTAGCCAAGAGCAGCACAAGAAAGAGCAAGGAGCTTCTTATCTCCATTAATGCACACAAACTCTTCTCTTTTCCAACTCCCAGGACAGGAATAGCAGACCATGCCCAACTAGGGAGAGACTTTTCCTGGGATCAGGTGAGAAGCACTCAGAGCAGGAAGGGAACAGCCTGCTGGGCACTGCACAAGCTGCCTGGAGCACTCACCTCTGTGGCCTCATCATTGGGATAGGTATCAAGGAAAATAGCCAGCCCATGGAAGTTGTCCTTGCTGCCAAAGACAGGACCTGGAACAGGGCAGAGGAGTGGAGAGAGGAAGAGACAGAAGGAAGTGAGAATCTGTGCTCAGAGAGTTCTGAGCTGTACCAGCTGTTCGCTGCCAAGCAGGTGGCTGATGGCACTGCTGGCCAGGCAGAACACACGGGACACGTCAGCCCAGCCTAGCGAAACCAGAGCGGGGAGCTCCGAGCCGTCCCTGGCCAGCTGCCTCCCGGGACGGGCCCCGTGTGCTGCGGGCCGGCCGCCCGCGGCACCGACCTGGTGTCAGCCGTTCCTGCGTGTACCACAGCGCCAGCCCGTCCCCGTGCAGGTTCTTCTTGCCGGCTCCGTGGATCTTGAAGTGGACGTGGAGCTCCCAGTCCTTGAGGAAGCAGGGCTGTGGGAGACACCGTGCCCCGTCAGAGCGTGAGGCGCCAGGCCCGTGCCGACCCCCGCCCGTCCTGCCCCCGGCTCTCACCACGCGGTTCCAGATGGAGCCCTCCCGACTGCGCTCGTCGGGCGTCAGGCGCACGTACTGGCTGGTGACCATGGTGCTGCCCGTGAAGTCCCACAGCGGCATCGCGGCGGAGCCCGCGCCTGCAAAGGAGCCGACAGAGCGCGGATCAGCCCGGGCTGCTCGGGGGGCGCCCCGAGCGTCCCCCCGGGCCCGCGCTCACCCTGGTACGGCTTCATCAGCGAGTGCTCCCGCTTCAGGTGCTCGCTGTTGCCATCCGTGAGTTCGGCGGGCACCGGGCGCGGCCCGGCCAGGGCCAACAGCAGCGCGGCCGCCGCCACCAGCCCGCCCGCACCCGCCGCCATGCTCCGCTTCCGCCTTCCGGCGCCCTGCCCTCAGCCCCGCCTCGTAACCGCAGTAGCCAATTAGAAACCCGCAGTCACTGTGGTCCCGCCCCCAGGCGTGAGCGGCATCACTGTCCGCCTATAGCAGGGGAGAAGGGCGGGGCCAACGGGGCGCGCATCTCCCGTAGTGCGGCGGGAGGCGGGAGCAGGAGGCAGAACGGCCTCACGGCGCGCGTTACGCGTGCGCTCCGGCGCGGGGCGTGCCGGGAGGTGTAGTCCGCCCGCCTTCCCCGGGCTGCCTCACGTGCGCGACTCGTGCCGCGGAACACGTGACCCTCCCCGACGGGTCCCGGGAACGGGGACAATGGGATCGGGAACAATGGGATCGGGAACGGCCCCGGGAACGGGGACAATGGGATCGGGAACGGCCCCGGGATGGGCACGGGGAATGGGAACGGGAACAATGGGCTTGGGAACAGCCTCAGGAACAATGGGCTCAGGAACAGCTCCGGGATGGGCAGGGGGAACGGGAACAATGGGCTCGGGAACAGCCCTGGGATGGGCTCGGGAACGGCCCCGGGATGGCCACGGGGAACGGGAACGGGAACAATGGGCTCGGGAATGGCCCCGCGGGTCAGCAGGAAGGACAGGCCGAGGCAGCATGGAGGAGGTCACAGCCGCTTTATTGAGGGTCGCAGGGCAGCCCCCGCCCCGCCCCGCAGGTCTCCCCCCGTCCCTCCGCCACGGCAGCCGCGGGGGCCGGGGAGCGGAACCTCCCGGTCCTCCGCATGGGCACCTCCGGCCCGGCGACAGCAGCCGCGGCTGGGACACAACGCGTGTGGTACCAACAGGGACAGGGTACGGGGACCCCTGGGCGGCACCGGGCAGATCCCTCCGGTGGTGACTGGTCCTGTCTTCGTGCTTGTTCCGAGCCCTGTGCGCACATGGGGACTCCCCTGGCCAGTGAGAGGTGCTGAAGGGAGCTTTCCCGAGCAGCTGCCAGGGCAGCACCGGTCCCATCCTGCGGGAGCACAGGGGACACGGCACTCGGGTGCCTGGCGGTGCAGCCACTGCCATGTCGGGGTGCCCGGGGCAGTGTGGGGGTCATAGCAGCCCCTGTGGGGTGTGACAGCAGCATGGATGCACAAGTCCTGGGGAGGTTCTCATGCTGGAGGTGTGCAAGCCCTGAGCACGGTGGGACATGTGCTTCCCTCCAACAGCACGGGGGCTGCAGGGGATATGGGGTGTGAGGAGCCCGTGGAAGCCCAGGAGGGAGGGAGAGGGGAAACCGATTGATTTGTGGAAGACTGGGTGGGAAAATCATCTGAGCATGGCAGTCTGAGGCTCAGGGCCCAGCCGAGGCTTGGGACAGCCAAGGGACCAGGGGGGTTGGCCGTGGCGTAGGGACCTGCAGCTCAGTCCCGTCTGGCACTTGGCAGCTCTCACTTCTTCCTGTTCATTATCTGGCTGGAAATCCAGTTCATCCCATCCTGGAGGGAAGAAGGATGTGAGCACAGGCCCTTGGGCCCAGCTCTGCAGAGCCCACAGGCCCCCATCTCTACCTGCACCCCTTCCCCAGACAGGGCTGAGCAGGCCTGGATCTGCCACTCCCGGTCCCGGTAGGTGTGCAGGCTCAGCCCCTCTGCGATTTCAGCTGCAGGTGCTGCAGTCACCAGGTCCTGCTTGTTGGCAAACACCAGCAGCGGCACCCCCGTCAGGGACTCATCCTCCGTGAGCTCTGCCAGCTCCTGCCAAGAGAGAAGCTTCTCCCAGGGCTGCTGCCCTCCTCCGTGGAGCTGCCCAGCATGGGCTGGACACCTCAGCCCTCAAAATGTCCCATCCCTCCTCTCTGGTGCTCATGGCAGATAAGGAAGCTGTGAGATCTTGATATCCCTAGGGAGAAAAGCTCCCGAAGGAGCTTCATCTCCTGGAGCTCCATCAGCCACATGCAGGGCTACTTGAGGACTGGAATCCTCCCAGCCCTGAGAGGCCTGGGCAAAGGGCAGCTGCAGGAGGCTCCTGGCAGTCCCGAGCTGTCTGGCACACCCACATGGCTGTCTGGTGGTGGAACAGCCGGGGCTGGCGCTTGGAGTCTCACCTTCCCGTTTCAGAGCTCCAGTCCCAGGGTTTGTAGCTGAATTTGCTGTTCATAAACCTTTGTTTGGCCATATCACTTATGGGGTGCTGGGGGTGGGATGAGGGCTGGGGACTGAGGGGCCACTTTCTCCAGGGACTGTCACCCCTGTGCTGGGCACCCTTGGAGCATCCCAGCTCAGGGGGAGCTGCTGGCCATGGAGTGGGGTATCTCTGCCTGCTGAGATCTTGAGCCTTCCCTCAGAGTTCTGGGGACAGCATGGCCCCATAATTCAGAACAGCTTTGCCTCCCCCTCATCCCCAAAGAGTTGATGCCACACAGATCTGAGCCCCAGGACCCCACAGCCACCCCTCACCCACTCATACCTGCCCCGTCTCCTCAAAACGCTTCTGGTCAGCGCTGTCAATGACGTAAATCTGCCATGGGGACAAAAGGGACAGTCAGGGGCTCCTCCTTGCCCAGCTGCGCAGCCCTTCTGTGGGGCCCACACACCCTGCACAGGCCTGGGGAGCTGCCCCACTCACCAGCAGGTCTGTGCTGCCCAGGTACTTCTTCCAGTAGGGGCGGATGGAGCGCTGCCCCCCGATATCCCAAACATTCAGCTTCAAACCGTGGGACTGCACGCTCTTGATGTTGAATCCCTGCATGGGGACACAAACCCCAGTGTCGCCCAGGGGATGGCTGTGCCCTGCGCCCTCTGCCCTGCCCGTGGCCCCCAGCAGCCCCTACCTGTGTGGGGGTGATGGTGCTGACCTCCTCGGACGCCAGGCGCTTCAGCAGCGTGGTCTTGCCCGCGTTGTCCAGCCCCAGCAGGACGATGCGGAGCTCCTGCTCTGGGGATCCCTTCAGCTTCTGGATGACGGAGAGCAGCCCCTGGGGGCAGGGGGTGCTGGGGGAGCCCTGTGGGGTGCAGGGTCCCTTCTTTGGGAGGGGGGAGCTGCTGGCTTTGGGTACCTTGTGTCTATGGCCTGAGCGAGCATCAAGCTCCCAAGGCATTCAGGCTCGTGGTGGCCCCACAGCAGATCTGCCCAGCCCCAATTCCCCCCTCCCCGGGTGTGGGACCACTCCCAGCTCCTGGGCACGATGTGGGGACGTGCCCGAGGCAGAGCCCTGCTCTGCCAGCCCTCCTGGCACCACCACTGAGGGCTGGTGCTGCCCTCCCCCCTGGAGCCGGTGGGATGTCACCGGACCCCGCTTACCTTCTGCACATCCCCCATGGTCCGGGAGTGGCTCCGGCCCGCGGCACTGCCTGGGGAGCTGCCGGGGGCTCGTCCCCGGGGCCCGCCGGTGGGTTCGTGACTGGCACGCTCCCCGTTGTTCCCGGGGGAGGAAGAGGATTACGGGCTCCGGAATTAGCTGCTGTTCCTCCATTTACCCACAGCGTTAAATAATGCCCTCGGCAAATCCTCCAGCCAGCTGTCGCCCCGCCGTCGCCTACCCCCGGGATAAACCAGGTCCCCCCGGGCTGGGGCACTGGGGCACAGGGCATCCCCCTCCCCACGGGGCAGGGGTCCCAGCCTGGGAGGATGCTGTGCCCAGGACAGGGCTGGCACTGCCTCACACGCTGGGATACCTCACGTTGAGGCAACACGAAGCTGTCCCCTTGCAGGGTGGCAGAGGAAATTGCTGAGCTTGCTCGAGGCCACGTCAGCGAGTGCCACAGCTCCCCAGTGCTGCCCAAGGGAAACCACCAGGCCCTGGAGCAGGTTGAGGCTGGCTTGGCAGCAGCTGGAGCTTGGGGATGACACAGGACAGGGCCCAGAGGGGCTCAGACACATTCTCCAGCAGCCCACCCCCAACCCAGGTGGGGTGAGGGGCTCATCTGTTCTCCGTTTGGATTAAGTGCATTAATTAAGCAATGTCTTTGATGATTCCTGCATGCTGCAGTTCCGTCCTCAGATCAGGTTTCCCAGCAGAGAGGTTATCCTTGTGGTGAGGACCGTGAGTCACGCACTCTTGGAGAGACATTTTTATTTATAACTCTGGTGGCAAAGCCAAGCCAAACAACACAGCCACACTCCAACAAAGCAGAGGGGAGCAGCATGATCACCCCTCATCCCACTGCTGCTCCCTGCAGTGGCAGGGGGCAGAGGGGCAGCCAGTGGTGCCACCCTCTGTTCCCCCCACCCAGAGACCCTGCCAGCCCTGTGGCTGCTTGTGGTGCTCTGCTTTTCTGCCTGCTCATGGTGGGAAGGCTTCATTTTTTTCTGCATAGATCTGCACCCAACTTAATGTTAGGGTTCTGCTTTTGCTGGGTTAATCACCCACCTTACATCCCCATTATTAGCATTTCCCTGAGCGGGTTGCCATGGTGCTCTGCGGTTTATCCTGCGCTGTTAGTTACTGAGATTTCCTAACAAATAACCCAAAATATCCTCCACTGGTTTGTGGTTGCTGATCAACATGGAACCCCGACCTTAGGAGATGGGCAAAACTGCTTAGGCATCAGTTTGGTGACTCCAAGCTGCACGTCCACTGCTCCTCCCTGCCAGGTTCTGCTGGCACACGCAGCACAGGCAGCCCTCCCCAAACGCTGTCCCTGGGGCCAGCCCCACACCCTCTGTGACCAGGGCAAGTGGCACCAGGCTGGGCCTGCTGATGTCCTCCTGCCCCTGCAGCCCCTTCCCTGGGATGATGTGATGGCCGGGAGGAGCCCCCTCAGGCAGCCCAGGCTGCAGGGCAGGGACAAAGGGCTGGTGACCCCAGCCGTGCTGGGAATGGAGACTGGGATGGGTTTGGGAACAGGGATGCAGATGGGAATGCGGTCACGGATGTAGATGTGGATGGAGACAGGGACGGGGATGGGGATGGAAACAAGGATACAGATGGAGACGGGATCACGGATGTGGATGCAGATGGGGAATTAATGGGATGGGCATGGGAAACAGGGATGCAGATGGGAATGGGATAACGGATGTGGACGCAGATGGAGACCGGGACAGGGACGGAGGTGCAGCGGCGCCGCGGCGGCTCCTGGCCCGGGGCTGCAGCCGGTGTCCGCCGGGGCGGTGCCGGTGGCGCGGGGCGGGCGGCCCCGCTCCCCCCGCTGCGGTCTCGGTTCCCATGGTGACACTTCCTGTGGGAGCCGAAAGCGGTAGTGTGGCGGTGCCGGGAGCGCCGGGCCGGGCCGGGCCGGGAGAGCCGCGCCGCCGGCCGGGGATGCTGCGGGGCCGCGGGCCGCGCCCGTAGCGCGCCGGGCCGGGCCGAGCCAGGCATGCAGGGCAAGGGCAAACTGCTGGTGGTCCACAACGGGCGCATGGTGAGTGCCCGGGGCGCCGGTGCCCATCCCCCGGAGCGCCGGTCCCCACCCCGGGGCTGCCCCGGCCGGCGGCGCGGCGGGAGCTCGGTACCGGGGAGAGGGGCGGGCAGGCAGGCGGTGAGGAGCGGATAACGGGTACACAGAGCGTTCTGGGCAGGAAGGGCAGGATGGGCATCCCAAGCAGGCGGAGCCGTGGAGGGGTTTAGGGCAGGCAGCGGTGTCTGGGGTGGGTAACGCGTGTGGGGCCGGGGCGGTGAGCAGCAGGGGTTTGTGAGGCTTGGCAGCGGTGTAAGGGGATGTGTGGCACTGGGTGATGGACAAGGGGTGACGGATGGGGTCATGGCAGTCAGCAGCGCTGGTGTCCGGGGGGCTGGGCAGGGCTGTGTGGGTGCGGGCAGCAGGGATGGATGGGGAGGAGCAAGGAGCTGGCAGGAGAGAGGGACGTGGGACCGGGGTAAGAGACATGGCAGAGGAATGTGGGGTGGGGTGGCAGGGCGGGCATGGTGGGCCTGGGATGGAGACAGTGGGGAGCTGTGTGGGGGGCACGGGCCAGCTGGGCCAGGGGCATCACTGGAATGTGGGCACCCCTTCAGTGGCCCCAAGCAGGGGATGAGACACAGCACCCTGCAGCGAGTGCGTGGCTGGGCTTTGGCTGTGGGGGCTCTGCCCATCTGCCTGCTTGGCTACTCCATCCCCAGGGCTGCTGTCTGGGGTGTCCCAGACACCCCGTCCTGCAGTGCCCTGAGCTGGCAGCACCTGGTCCCTGCTTTTGGGCATCTGCCCTCTGGTAGCTCCAGGCTCCAGGGAAGGAGGGAACAGGCAATTTGCCTGCTTGGGGCTGTGGTTGTCCTTCCTTCCTTCCCTCCCCTCCTCCCCTCCCCTTCCTGTGCCGTGGAGGCTGTTTCTCTCCTCCCTTCTTGTTTGGGGTGGCAGGGTTACATCTGATAGCAGCTGCCCTTCCCCAGTTGCTGGCCTGGCCCCGGGCCATGCAGGGGTAGGAGAAAGGCTGTACCCCCTTTGTAACTCTCTCCTTGCTGCCCTGGGTTGGAAGTCCTGTGTCTGCCTCTGCCACAGGGCAGGTAACTCCAGAGCAGTGTTTGCTGGCAGTGCCTCTTGCTCTGGGCTCAGCTGGGCTTGCCCTGGTGCTGCTGCCACTCCACCAGGCCAGCAGATGCCACGTAGCCCCTCTGACCTCTCTTGTTTCCACTCCCACAGGGCCCGGCCGTGTCAGATGGAGGTAAGGCTGCTCTTTGCCCTGGGACAGGAGCCCAGCATCATCTTCAGGGGAGGGGGAAGCCCACAGGCAGCCTGTGCCAGGGGCAGGGAGCGGGCAGGCAGCAAGGTCCTGTGTCAGTACAGGCTGTGCCACGGGTGGGTGCAGGGCTGAGCCCTCTGCCCAGCACTGGCCATGTCCCCCCATCCCTCCCACATGGCCCCTGGTGCCTGTCCCCCCTTTTGGCTGCTCAGCTGGCACTTTGGGGTGCTGGGGGCTGAGTGGCTTCCTGGGAAAAGGAGAACCTGGGTGCCAGCCCCAGGTTGTCTGAGGGAGTCTGTCTGTCAGTCTGACTGTGCACTGGATGTTTCAGATGGTTTATTTAGCTGTGTGTGCTCCAGATACTTGTGGTTTAGCCCAGCAGGAGGATAAGTACAGGGGGCTTGGCAAAGGAGCAGCCTGACACACCTCCTCTGTTCCTGCCAGCTTTGCCAGGACAGCACTGCTTCCATACCCTTACCTTCTCTTGCAAATGACCCCCTGCTTCAGCTGCACACCAGTCAAACCAGTTCCAAAGCTGGGCCTGCCCCTGGGAACTTCCATCTTTGTGAACACATGGTCACCCTGGGTTTCCCCAAAGTGGGGTTTCCTCAGAGTTGGGAGCTGGAAATGACATTTTCTGTGCCCTCCACATGCTGGGTTTGTCCCTCATCTTGGCCAGAGGAATAGAGAAAGTGGGTTCAGGCACCTCTGGCATCTTCCAAGCTTCCCTCCACTCTGTGTGCCCTCTGTGTCCCCTTCCACTCCGCTTTCCCTGCTGGCTGGGTGCCTTGCCATGGGTGTCTTACCCCAGGAGATGAGTCACGGGTGGAGTCACAGTGACACCCAGGGTGGGCACAACTGCCAGCACTGGCAGGGACAGCTGTCATGCCAGGAAGTGCCAGCTGTGTCATCCTGGTGCTCAATCCTCCAAGGATGCCACCGTGATGCTCCTCATGTTCCCTACCCAGCACTCACCAGGTCTGATCCCGATGGAGCACGTGGAGGGCTGCTGGTGCTGGGGGGTGACACTGGGGGACAGGGAGACAGCCAGAAGTGACACTTTTTCTCTCTCAGAGTTAAATGCCTCCCGGGCCCGTGGCAGCAACCACAGTGTGAACAGCCTGCCAGGCGCACCAGCCACGTGTGGATCCAGCCAGGGCTCTGTGGTCAGCTGGGCTGAATCCTTCGAGACGCTGCTGCAGGACCGTGTGGCTGTCACCTACTTCACTGTGAGTGTCACAGCCCAGAGCTCAGCCCCTGCCCCCGTCCACTCTGGGACACCAACTGTCCCACAGGCACAGTGCCACCAGACCAGCAGATCTCTCTGCCCTGCAGGAGTTCCTCAAGAAGGAGTTCAGTGCTGAAAATGTCTACTTTTGGCAGGCATGTGAGCACTTCCAGCAGATCCCAGCCAGTGACACACAGCAGGTACCAGCTCTGGGCAGCTTTGCTCACAGCTGCTGGGAGGGATGTGGGCAGAGCTGTCCAGCTGCACATCCAGGGGTCCTGGCAGACCCCTTTTCTGGGGGGCTGAGCAGGCTGGGGGCTCTTGCAGAAGGAATAAGGAGATGGATGTGATGTGCATCTGAAAAGCCACAGCTGGGACTGCCTGCCCCACAGAGCAGGATGTGCTTCCCCTGCCAGAGGGTGGAGAGTGTTTCTGGGGAGACAAACAAGACCAAGGGCAGAGCTAGACAGGGGATCATGGGGACAGAGCCAGGTGGCTGCAGGGGATGGTTCCTCCCTCGGGTTGTACCTCTGTGGAGACACTGCTGTGTTGTGCCCAGAGCTTGGTCCTGAAGTCCAGATACTGAGCTGATCCTGGGGCAGGTTGGTTCTTCAGGGCTCAGGTGTCTCTGTGGGGTGAGTAGGGGGCTCCCCTGGTGTGGTGTAGAGGAGGGGGTTGCTGGTCCCAGCCTGGCCTCCTGTCCCCTCAGCTGGCCCAGGAGGCACGGCGGATCTACGATGAGTTCCTCTCCAGCCACTCGGTCAGCCCTGTGAACATTGACAAGCAGGCCTGGATTGGGGAGGACATGCTGGCCACCCCCTCCCCAGACATGTTTCGCATCCAGCAGCTCCAGGTATGGCAGCACCCACAGGATGGGGCTGTGGGACCACCCCGTGTGTCACCCAGCATCACTGCTGTCACCGTGGGGCTGTGCCATGGGGCAGTGCCTGGAGCCTGGAGGTGTGCAGGGGTCTGAAGCACACACATCCTCCCTTTCCAGATCTTCAACCTGATGAAGTTTGACAGCTACACACGTTTTGTGAAATCCCCCCTGTACCAGGCCTGCCTGCGGGCAGAGAGCCAGGGCCAGCCCCTGCCTGACCTGCGGCCCCACTCCCGCAGCAGCAGCCCCCCTCCTGACCTCAGCAAGGTGAGTCAGGGGGAAAGGGCAATGGGGACACGTCCTCGTGGTGCTGGGTCCCCTCCCTGCTGCTCAACCCCAGGCTGAGCCCAGACAAGCAGTCAGGGCACCAGGGAAAGGGAAGGGGGACCCTCAGGTGTTGCCATGCTGAGATGCTGCTCAATTCACCCCAGAAGACGAAGCTGAAGCTGGGCAAGTCGCTGCCCCTGGGCGTGGAGACGGCGGGCAGCAGTGCCAGCCGCAGCCTGCAGCGCTCCTTCAGGAAGGGAGAGCGGCGGGAGCCCTCCTGGGCAGGTGAGTGCTCTGCTCAGCAGGACAGAGGGGCCTCAGGGGTGTTCACGTCCCCACCACCGTCCCTCTGTCTGTCCTAGAGGGGGGAGAAGGCAGCAGGAGCGCCATGCTGTGGAGGGAATCCCAGGGCTCACTCAACTCCTCAGCCAGCCTGGACCTGGGCTTCTTGTCCTCGGCCAGCACAGCCACCAGCCCCTGCACAGAGGTGAGTGGGCACCACGCCACTGCCACGGCACCATGCTGCCACGGCTGGGCTCATCCCACCTCATCCCTCCCTCAGGGCCAGCAGAAGAGCCTGGGGGGCAGCGAGGCCGAGCTGCCAGGCAAGCCCATGAAGTACTGCTGCGTGTACCTGCCTGATGGCACAGCCTCGCTGGCCTCCGTCCGGCCCGGCCACTCCATCCGGGACATGCTGGCCGGGCTGTGTGAGAAACGCGGCTTCAGCCTCCCCGACATCAAGGTCTTCCTGGTGGGCAATGAGCAGGTAGGGCCGGCAGGGGGGAGCAGGGTTTGTGCCAGCCAAACCATCCCTGTGCCGGGACCACTGTGCTGGCTCTCTCCTGATGGTTTGTCTCTTGCAGAAAGCATTGGTGCTGGACCAGGAGTGCTCCGTGCTGGCAGACCAGGAGGTGAAGCTGGAGAACAGGATAAGCTTTGAGTGAGTGGGGGCTGAGACCGTGTTCACAGGGGTCTTAGGATGAGGGAAGAGACGAGAATCTGACTCCATGTTTCAGAAGGCTTGATTTATTATTTTATGATATATATTATATTAAAACTATACTAAAAGAATAGAAGAAAGGATTTCATCAGAAGGCTGGCTAAGAATAGAAAAAGAAAGAATGATTACCAAGGCTTGTGGCTCGGACTCTTTGTCCGAGCCAGCTGACTGTGATTAGCTATTAATTAAAAACAACTAACATGGGCTAATCAAAGATCTATTTGTTGCATTCCACAGCAGCAGATAACCATTGTTTACATTTTGTTCCTGAGGCTTCTCAGCTTCTCAGGAGGAAAAATCCTAAAGAAAGGATTTTTCATAAAAGATGTCTGTGACAGGGAGCTTTGGGGCTGATGCTGTTGGCCATGCATAGTGCCTCAAACCCGGTCCCCTGGGCAGTCCCGAGTGCCCTGGCTCTGCTCCTGCCTGCAGCCACCTCTTGTTCCCCTCTGCAGCCTGGAAATCTCCTCCCTCAACAAGACCATCCGCATCACAGCCAAGTCAACCAAGCGCATCCGGGAGGCGCTGCAGCCCGTGCTGGGCAAGTACGGCGTGAGCGTGGAGCAGGCGCTGCTGCGCAGGGTGAGGGAGCCTGGGGGCACGGCCAGCCCCTGCTTTGGGGGAACCCTGCGTTTGGGGCTCAGGCCAGGGGCTGCTGGCTCTCAGCAGGTAGTGGGGAGCAGCGCTGTGTGCCTGTGAGCTCCGACAATCACTGTTTTGGGATGGGCTGTGACTCCTGCTGCGTGCTGGGAGGGACCAGGGGGTGTTTCCTGGGGTTTGGCCAGACGGGTCCTCAGCCTGGCTGCCTTCCCCGTGCCACAGTGAGTGTGACACCGGCTGCTGTTCCTGTTGCAGCAAGGTGAGCCCGCCACGCTGGACTTGGAGAAGCTGGTCAGCACAGTGTCTGCTCAGAAACTTGTCTTGGAAACACCAGCAGGTAAAGTGTCCTCCAAACCATGTCCCCTTAAGCCACATCACCCTGAAGGGCTCTCAGAGGGTCAGGCTGTTTTCTGCTGGCCATGGCTCCCACTCCCTGGGACAAGGTCCATCCTGTCCCTGCCTGGCCAGCACCAGGATGATGGAATGGGGCACTGAGCATTGCTTCCCTTGCAGACGTGCAAGTGATGGGGAGTGCTGAGGCTGCAGCTGCCCCCTCTCTGCTCCGGAGTGAGGTGAGCATCAAATCCCACCAGCCCTGGTCAGAGATGCCCTCACAGCTGCTGTCATGGTCCACAGGGAAGCCGGGCCCTGCTGTGGCCTCAGCACAGGGCTGGGCAGTGGTGCCAAGGCAGAAGCCAGGCTGTGGGAGGGTGATGGGGACACAGGGCAGTGCTGCCTCCTGCCCTGTGGCTGAGGCCTGGGCTGCTCATTGCAGGAGGGGAGCCCAACAGGAGCAGAGCCTGACACACGATGGGAGATGCCCTCCTCCTTCTCCAGGCCACAGTCTTCAGCTGCCATGAACCTCAACCGCCGCACGTACGACCTGGAAGGTGAGACCTGGCATGTCTGAATGCTGAGGGGCTGGGGCAAAGCACAGGCTGAGGGATGCAGAGCCCCTGGTGTGCTGAGGATGGCTGCAGGGTCCCATGAAGCTGGGAATGGACTGTGGGGACTTGGGGTCTGGTGTGGAGCAGGGAGAAGGTGCCAGTGCTGTGCCTGAGAGGCCTTCAGGGTCATATCAGGTGGAGAGGGCAGCTGAGGTGCTGGGACAAAGCCCCAGTGCCTGGCTCAGGTGCATGATCTGCATTTCCCCAGGGCTGGTGGAGCTGCTGAACCGTGCCCAGAGCTGCCGGGCCAACGACCAGCGTGGGCTGCTCTCTAAGGAGGACCTGGTCCTGCCCGACTTCCTCCAGCTCCCCGTGCAGGACAGCAGTGCCTGTGAGGGGTCACAGCAGCCCAGTGCCCCTCAGGCTGGCTCTGAGGGAAGCAGCTGCCCTCAGGAAGAGCCTGCTCTGGCTCAGCCTTCGTTGGACCACAAGCTCTGATGAGTGCTGCTGCACGTCCACACCCAGCGTGTGGCACCCCCAGGCCCTGCCAGGGTTCAAGAGGGGCCCGACAGCCCCTGCCCTGCACCACTGACACTGCCCAGACTGCAGATCCATCCACGTCCTGTCCCACGCTGTCACGTCGTGTCCTGTGCGTGGCCGAGCAGCTGCCATGCCCCTCTGTGGGGCCACATCCCGGTGCACATCAAGGGACTCTTGTACATAGTCTGAACCCTCGTTGCAAAGCACTTTGCAACACCCCTGGCACTGCCCTGCCCAGTGCCTCTGCCCTGCCCAGCACATCCTGCCTGTGTCGGGCTGACACAACCCCACTGAAAGCTCCTTTCCAACTGCAGGGTGTGCAGGATAGACAGGCTGGGTGGGGAGGAAAGGCAGGCTCCAGTCCTGAACTGCAGTGCTGTGTGAGCAGGCAGGGTCAGCAGAACATGTGCCCTGAGCTCAGAGCCAGATCCAGTCCTGGCCCCGTGGGAACAGGGCTGCCCCGTTGTTGATTTGCAAGTCCACCCTTCCTGGGGAGGGTGAGCGTGCCCCGGGCAGGCTGTTACGTCTGCATTGCGTGAGCGTGGCCTGATCCTGCCACGGTAGCACTGCTTGGAGCAGGGCACATGGTTCCTGCCCCGGGCAGCCAGAGGCAGAGCCAGCAGATGGTGCCAAGAAAGCCTTCCTCCTCCTCCTCCTCCTCCTCCCTGCTGGAGATCCTGCGTGGGTGGCTGCTGAAGAACAGGCAGGAGCAAATCCCCATCTTCCCCTGCCCCATCCCCACTGGGGTGTGGGTGCTCAGCCTGCAGGACAGCTCTGCTTGGTGCCAGGAGAATGCAGCACCCCTGGGTGTGAGCACCTCAGCCAGCGTGTGCCCAGCCTGTCATTCCTGCCAGGAGCCTTGAGCCTCCATCTGCCAGTCCTGGCTGTGCACTGCTGGTTCCCCTGCCCAGCAGCCCAGTGTCCCCAGAGGTCCCAGACAGAATCTGCAATGGAGACGTTCCCCCAACAGCAGCCAGGAGACCCCTCCACAGTCCATCCTTGCCAGAGCCCCTCCTGGCTGTGCCTTGGGTAACCACTGCACCACCACTGCCTGGCCAGAGGCAGAGGGGTGACCCAGGGCCCCCAGGCTTGCCCAGAGATGGGGGCATGGCCACCCAGCCCTATGCTGCCACAGCAAGCTGCAGCCCTGTGGCCTTAGTCAGAGCCCCCCTGTGTCTCTGTGATGCTGCTCAGTTCTGTCTGTGCTGTGGAACCAGGGGAAATAAAGAGCATTGTCTGGATGTATCCTTCTGTCCTTCCTCTGCCATCAAGGCTGGATTGTGCTTTTCCCTGCAGCAATGTCCCCTCAACCCTCTCCCCACAGAGCCTTCCCAGGGCCATGGCAGAGCTGGGGCCAGCCCTGGGCTCCAGTGCCACCCTGACTGGCAGCAAGGGGCAGTGCCAGGAGTTGTTTACCCAGCACTGCTGGTGGAGCAGGGGAAGCTGTAGGGCCGGCATGGCCAAGGACTTCAGCCCCAACCCTGTCAATGAGTGACAGCCAGAGCTGCCAGGGCCTCACTGGGTTAATGATTGTGGGGGCGGCTGGCCAAGAGCCCCTGGGCACGGGGCAAGTGCGGACACCAGGGACACCAGCGCCCTGCACGCTGGCTGCACCCCCTGGGCAGAAGGGTCCCCAGGCCCTGCAGAGGCAGGACACGTCCCCTGCTGTGCCACCTCCCGGGCATTCGGCTCCATCAGCCTGTGACCCAGTGCAGGTGGCTCAGTGATGCTCCAGCAGTGGCACAGGTGTCCCCAGGCTGTCCCTGAGTGCCCTGGAGTACCCAAGGGATCTTTCCTTTCATTTGCACCTGGCTCGTCATGGTAATGAGTTCTGGCAGTGCTTCATCCTGGGGAAATGGGGCAACTGAGCACCCCTTTGTGCCCACTCCCACAGGCACAGGGCCGGAGGAGCCTTTGGCCACTGTCTGTCCCCTGTGGACATAAGCTTGCTGTGGGTCCTGTGGGTGGATGGAAACTTGGCTGGAGGTGTGTAAGCAGCAGGTAATGATAAACAGGGCTGAGGAGGAGGTGGTGACGGCAGCGCTGGCCTCGCTCCTCTCCTGCTCACCCACTGCACATGCTGGGAGATGTGGTGCCAGGGAAGATGTGGTGCCAGGGAAGATGTGGTGCCAGGGAGATGCAGGCTCTGCCCCACACAGCCCTCAGTACTGCTGGCTGCCCCACACTGAGCCCTGGCACGGGCTGTGTGCCACCATCACCACCAGTGGCAGGACATGGGGATTGATCACACTGGTGTTGGCATCAGCCATCTCCAACACCCTGGGAGTGAGGCCATTGTGCCCTGGGCAGAGCTGATCCCTCATGGCTGATGCTGTGATGGCACTGAGGTGAGCATGGCCTCACCTCTGGTTTGTGATACCCCAGCAGCACCAGCACCAAGCCCTCCTCCTCCTCCTCCTCTTCCTCTCGTGCAGTGGATGAACCACCTGGCACCAAATGGTGGAGAGCCGAGGCTCCTCCAGCATCACCTCCCGGGCTCTGGGTCCCAGCAGTGCCCGGCTCTGCTCATCACGGCAGCAGCTGAGCTCACCCCGACCCGGGAGTGCCCCGGTACCCTGGGGGCACGTGCCCCATCCCGCCCCAGGGCCGCGGCTGACCGGGATGGGTGGGGGTTACCCATTAACTGCAGGAATTTCTGGGGAGGAGGTGAGCAGCCAGCGGAGCCGAGGGGCGACACGGGGCTCCTTAGACTTTGCTCTTGGCTGGTGTATAAAGGGCCGTGGTGCCCCACGGGCCACTTTGCTGGAGGGAGGCGTGGATGTGGCATGTGGAAGTGGCACTGCCCTGAGTGCCCGGCCAGCCCCAGGTGAGCTGGGCCCTGGGCAGGAGGAGTCCCCTTCCTGCCTGCCCTGCCTGCCCTTGGGGTGGCACAGCAGCAGCTGGCGGCCCAGGGGACCAACAGATGATGGGATGGTGCTCCTCAGTGGTGCCAGCACTGCAGGGATCTGGGGGGACGTGGCAGCTGGTGCAGCACAGCTGTGGTGACACGCGGCCACCTCTGCTCAGCCTCAGCAGGAGCCATGCTGCCCTACCGGACCGAGAGCCCAGTCCTGCCCGGGCGCTGCCCGGTGCGGGGAGGAAGGGTTGTGCATGGGCCACAGTTTGCCTACTGCCCCAGCCCCCAAGGTAGGTGCCCCCAGCCCTCCTCCTCCTCCTCCTCCTCCTCCTCTTCCTCCTCAGCTCTGCTTCTGGCCAGATGCTGTCCCAGGCAGTGCTGGGCTGTGCTCTGCAGGGAGGTCCCTGCCAGGACAGGGCTGTAACACAGCTGCTGTCTCTCCCCAGCTCTGCACCGGCTGCCAGGTGCCCATGGCTGCCCCTTCACGGTCAGCGCCGTGCCCTGCCCTGAGCACGGCTTCCCCTGCCCCGGCTCCCCCGGGCGCCTGCGCGAGGGCCGCGAGCGCTTCGAGCTGGATGCGCTCCCCTGGCAGGGGCACCGGCTGGGCTTGGATGAGCTGCAGAGGCCAGGTGAGACCCCAGGGGTGTGGGGTCTCACAGCACCTGGGCTGGGGAACACCCCAGAGATCTGACAAAGGCACCTGGGGCACTTGTGGTGCCAGGACTGTGGGGTGCCAGGTTGGGAGGGAAGTGCTGGTGAAGAGACCCTCAGTGTCCTGGGGTGATGTGGGAAGAGCTGAGGGACAATGGGCAGCTGGCACAAGGCACTGCAGGGTGGGAGGAGATGGATGGGACCCTGGGATAGGTGGCATAGCTCGGGACATGGGCCCTGGGCTGTCAGGAGCCATGAAAGTGGAAAAAGGCTGTCAGAGCCTGGGGAGCCAGGGCCATGCCACAGCAGGAGTTTAACACTCTCTCTTGTCTTGCACAGAGCTCGGGTGCTGGGCCAGGGTCCAGTCCTTCTGTGTCTCCCTTCTAAAGGTGCCCCTGATGTTTGGGTTCCTGTACCTCTTCGTGTGCTCTCTGGACGTGCTCAGCTCTGCCTTCCAGCTGGCTGGAGGTAGTAGGGTGGCAGGGATGCCCGGGAACCTGGTGGCACTGGCAGTGCCAGCAGCCTGCACTCCCATTCCCTTACAGGTAAGGTGGCGGGGGACATCTTCAAGGACAACGCCATCCTCTCCAATCCAGTGGCTGGGCTGGTGGTGGGTATCCTGGTGACTGTGCTGGTGCAGAGCTCCTCCACCTCCACCTCCATCATCGTCAGCATGGTCTCCTCAGGGTGTGAGTGTGCCCACGAGGCTGCTGGGGACCTGAGGCTGAGGGAGAGGATGGCTGGATGGGGTCATCATGAGCTGGACCATGCAAGGCTAGCAGGTCTATCTGTCCGTCCCTAGTGCTGGAGGTGCGCTCTGCCATCCCCATCATCATGGGCTCCAACATCGGCACCTCGGTCACCAACACCATCGTGGCCCTCATGCAGGCTGGCGACCGCAGCGAGTTCAAACGGTGAGAGCTGCATGGCTCAGGGGACACTGCTGGGGCTGGGGGCAGCTCCTCAGGACCACCTCACACCAATGGGCCCCTTCATGCTGCACAGGGCCTTCGCTGGTGCCACGGTGCACGACTGCTTCAACTGGCTGTCAGTGCTGGTGCTGCTGCCGCTGGAGGTGGTGAGTGGGTACCTGCACCACGTCACCCGCCTGGTTGTGGCCACCTTCAACATCCGCAGCGGGAAAGATGCCCCCGACCTGCTGAAGATCATCACAGAGCCCTTCACCAAACTCATCATCCAGGTCTCCTCAGCTGTTATGTATGCCCCAGGCTGGTGGTGATGCCCCCAGCACTGGTGTCCCTTTGATGGCGGTTGTATCCCGGTGTCCCCAGGCTGGCAGTGGTGTCCCCATGCCAGTGAAGATGTCCCCAGCCTGTGGGTGCTGTTAGCCCCCAGGTGGCCTCTCAAACATGCGTGTTGTTGCAGCTGGACAAGTCTGTGATCACAGGCATCGCAACAGGGGACGAGAGCCTGCGCAACCGGAGCCTCATCCGTGTCTGGTGTGGCCCTGCAACCCCACAGGTGAGGGGCCCATGGCCCTGCTGGGGCCACCAAACACTCCCACAGAGGATGGGTGGTGGGCAAGGGCTGGCAAAGCACACTGTGGAGCCAGCTGTAGCCCACCTTCTCCCTGCAGATGGCCTCTGTGGGGCTTGGGCCCCCCCCAAACTGCACATCCCCTGGCCACTGCAGCACTAAGGGCATTGAGGTCCTTCACAACGTCACCATGAAGAAGTGTGAGTGGGTGTGGAGGGCTTGGGCAGGGCTGGGGCACAGGGCATGCAGCTGGGGAGGTGCAAGTGGGGCTGGGGGTTGCACATGTGATGGAGAAGTGCTGGAGCCATGATGTGGGGCAGGGTTGGGAGATGTGCTGGGGTCCAGGTGTGGGGCTGTCTGTGGGGGCAGGTTGTGAGCGGGGCCTGGCCAGCCCCAGCCCCTTGTCCAGCCGTGCTGTGGGGCAGGTGAGCACCTCTTCACCGACACACCACTGCCTGACCTGGCTGTGGGGCTGGTGCTGCTGGCCGGGTCCCTTGTCGTGCTCTGCAC